GTGCAAAAATAAAAACACATATCTGATATTATAAACCTGGTCAAAACTATATAGATAGGGTGGACATAGGCTGTAGGGATAAATCTGCTACTGAATATTTTACTAAATGGGTGTGGGGTCAAACTAACTTCAAAATGTTTATGTTTATACTTACAGACTAGTGTTTCTCTCTGCCTTGGTCACTAAAACCTTTTTTTAAAAAATATAATATACAATATTTAGAGCAGATACTCATAATTTGTTCAAATTCTGACAGTAAGCAACAGGACATCTGTACAATTCCCTCCAAGGCCCAAGGAACACTGCAATGCAGCAGAGGGGCTGGAAAGACTGTACATGCCAGAGACTGAGGAAAGTAATAAAACATTGTCTTCTGGAATTGATGTGGGTAGCTATTGCAATCATGAACACACAGAAGCTCTGAACACATACAACAGACTTACATAACCACACATGCTAGCCACTATAGGTTCTGCTCCAAATTATGTGATAGACTTTGAAGATTACCCATGGAAGGCCTCACCGTCCCTGGGGAGCAGAAAGGAGATGAGATAGGGAGTTGGTGGGGGGGACAGGGGAGGAGGGGAGGGAGAGGGAACTGGGATTGACATGTAAAACATGACTGTATTATAAAGTAAAAAAAAAAAAAAAAGTGGGAGAGAGATTAGTTGAAAAGAAAAAAGTGGGTCAGTAGATGTTGGGGAAATAAGAAAAAGTAATAAGGGTCTGTATGATATCATAATACATGATACAAATAAGAAATTGTCAAAAATAAGAAAATTAAAAGCCTTTCAACAATCCTTAGCTGTTAGCAAAGTGCATATTAAAACTGCATTAGATTCTACCCTACTCAACTCGGAATGCCTACCATAAAAATGTTCTGGTGCTCCTCCCTTAACCTAGAGACAGGGGAGAAGTCCTAGTCCCTACTTCAAATGACTTGACAGATTTAGATGACCCCTCCTAGATGGCATCACCCTACATGGGGAGTGGGGTGGGTGGGAGGGGAGAGTGGTCAGGATACATGTGAGGGGGAGAGACAGGGAAAGAAGGAGGGAGGAAAGGAGGGAGAGGGAACTGGGATCTATATGTAAAAAAGAAAAAGGTTCTGGTGATAATATGGATAAAAGGAAACACTTATAGATTGTTGGCAAGAATCTAAGTTGTTCCAGACCCTATGGATGTCTATACTGAGGTTCCCCCAAACACTAAAAATAGAATTCCCTCCCACATGTCACACCTATAGTCCTACTTGTTAGACAACCAAAAGGACTCTAAGTAAACATCCTCAGAAACACTTGCACATGTGTGAGTATTATAGTACTGTTCACTACAATCAAGTTATAGAATCAAGGTTGGGAAGGTGACTCATCCGGAAAGCACTTGACTCATGAGTCTGTGAGTTCAGATCCTCAGAACACAGAAACGTCAGATATGCAGATAACCAGAAATGGCAAGATGGGAGGTGGAGACAGTCTTGTAGCTCACTTCCTAGCTAGCCTAGCCTACTTGTTGAAATTCCAGGCCAATGGGAGATCCAGTCTCAAACAAAAAAGGGAAGGTACCTGAGTAATGACACCTGAGGTTGTCCTTTAAAGTCCACATACAGATATGAACACATGTGGAATCTGCCTTGGTATCAATCCATAGATTAATGAATAAAGAAAATGTGGTCTATATAAACAAATGGAGTTTTATTCAGTCATGAAAAATTAAATAATTTCATTTGCTAAAAAACCTGATGAAACGGGATAGCCTCATATTAAGAGAAACTAAATCACATGCATCAAGATAATACCACATGTTTTTTCCTCATTAGTAGATCCTATAATTCTTTGTAGGTATATAAATTGAAGTGAGGAAATCAGAAGAAGTTAATATAGTCAAAGTACAATGTGTATTTGGAAGAAACTGTCTCTACAAAATATAACAGTATGTCCAATTAGTCAATAAATAGGATAGGATCTGGGAGATGGCTCAGCAGGTAAAAAGCAAATGCAGCCAAACCTGAAAACCTAAGTTTGACTTCCAGGACCCATATTCTAATCTGTATATGGTTATCTGACTTCCATACACACACAGTATGGCATGTGCACATGCACATGCACACATGTACACATGTGCACACATGCTAAACAAATGTTTAATTTTTTGCCTGATGAAGGGTCTCAAGTAACCGAGCCTGAGACTGGTGTAGATCAGCTATACAGCTGAGAATGGACTTGAATTCCCAATCCTCCTGCCTTTACCTGCTAAGTGTTAGGATCACACCCATGTACCACCATGCTCATCAATAAATTCAAAATAAAATAGAGGAGGAAACCACTGGAAAAAGATTATGTCCTTGTGAAGGAGATTAGTGTTAAAGTAAGAGACATTTCCACCCCAGGTACTTCCCAGATACTTCATGTGAAGACATTGAAAAGTGTTCTCTCTGAGCTGGAACACATACTCATGAGACACTAAATTGGCTGGCACCTTGATCTCTAGGACTTCTCAGCCACCACTATGCTTTAAGGCTCTTGAAAAAGGAAGGAAAGCAAGTCAGTGGTCCATATTTGGTCCATTTGCTAAAACTTGCAATACATTCTTGAACTTGGTTTGTCTCTCTGATTCTTAGCCATCCATGCTAATCTGAATGTGAACTTTCTCTACCAGGTCCTCACCCCAAACTATTTGATTAGAGCCTAGGCTACACTAGAAAATGAAAATCTAGGCAAAGGTCATCACGACCAAAAATGAAAGTTTTCAATTTCTCTACCCAACCCTCCTCCTCCTCTCACCATGGCCTCTGTGGTGGTGGTGCCAGCCGACACTGTTCTTCTAGCCACTGAAGGTAAAACTTGGCAGTTAGCTTTGATTTATCTCCCTTCTCAATTGTTATAAAAGATTAACAAATTGTATTGTTTATTTCCTCCAAACAGTTCCATGTTCCTCTTCTTCCTCTCCACATCCCCTGCTTTGGACCCCAAAGTCTTTCATTTTAAATTTAAGTGTGTGTGTGTGTGTGTGTGTGTGTGTGTGTGTGTGTGTGTGTGTGTGTAGGTGCTCACAGACATCACAAAGAGAGCATGAGAGCTCCAGGGAGACACAGTTACATGCAGGTGGGAGGCACCTGATGTGGATGCCAGGAACCAAATTCTTGAAGAGCAACAACCACTTGTAACCACTAAGCCACCTCTTCAACCACTAATGCCCAAACTCTTGCTGTCAAACTACGAATCAAGACATTAGCCTTCCAACAACACAGGATTCTTGCAGTCTCCTCAAATATGCCATAAAGTTTTCTACATCTTCACCATCATATAGTTCCCTTTGCCTGGAATTCCTTCCCCCAAAACCCCCACTTTAAACTTGCTATCTTCATTGTAAGCTAGTCAGTATTCAGCTCAGAATTTCATCTACATTTAATCATTTTCTCCACAAAGGTACTTGATTTCAACAAAATAGACACAACAGTCTCAAGATATATGGTCTAAGATTCTCAAGTCTATGATTAATGGTAATCTTAAGCATCCATGTCAGAACTTCAGGGCTAAAGTACTTATCGGGCTATTAAATACTGTAACTAAAATATACTCTGCATTTCATTGCATTATTACTTTAGTAACATCAACCTTTATCTTAATCTGAAAAGAAACAATAAAGCTGTTGTCACTTCAGGAACATTATTGCATGTATAACCAAACATTAAATACACAAAACAGCCTTATAAAACCTCTTGCTCCCACACAGCAGTCACACAGAATCTAAATCAAAACTGAGTCTCAGCAAAATTATAATCTCTTCATGTACTAGACCTTTGGAAATCATTTAAACGATGAGTGTGAAATACATAAATGCCCACCTACCAAACATCTATTATTGTACTTGTGTTAAAAACAATGACCTGTTGCCCTGTTGAGAACATGAGCTTTTTGGTGGAATCCTGTTTTGCCAATTTTCTTTTTAATGCTAAAATTGACCTAACTGCTCCAAAATATTTGTTGAATGAAACTGTCTCCTGGTTGGTCTCCCTGCCCCCAGGCCATCTTCCTTTCAGAAATCCTGCCTATTGTTTTACAAAAACACCACTGTGACGTCACTTTATTGCCTCCAAACCTTTGCCTACTGTTCACCCTCTGCTTTACATAACAGTGTTTCCAGTTTCTGATAGGGCCTTCCTATCCTGGCTTCAGCCTCTGTTTTCAGCCTCTTTCCCATTCTCTCCTTTTCACATAAACTCTCCTCAAGGTACAACAGCTGTTCTTGGAACACTTTGGAATTTTGCCATGCCTTTTCAAACACGGTTCTGGTTTGAAAGGTCATCCATCTTCTTTTGCCTGAAAAATGCCTTTATTAATAAAGCTTATATTAAACACTACTTTTATAGCTTTCCCTGAGCACAGAATCATTGTGGCCCTAGCTTGATTTAGGCACCACTGTGTTTATCTGAAAATATACTAGGCTAACTCTGCAGGGAGGACAGAAAGGGAGGAGTACTCTGTCTAGACACTTACCCCAGCAGCGACTGCAGCACTGCAAGTTAAGCATACCTTTCTTGCGGCAGTGGGAGGATGGGGATGGATGACCTTTAATTCATGAGGTGCTACTGTTGTGCTGTGCTCATCTTTCACACAGTTCTGTGTACTTGTGTGTTGGGGGTTGGGACAGCAGAGAAAAGGAGAGACGGGAAGAAAGAGAGAGGAAAGGGGGATTGAAGACTAGGTGGACGCAGTGCAGTAAAGGCAGATGGGCGGACCCACATTTTTTAGGCGCCACAGTTTTGCAGAGGTCCAGCCCTGCAAGCTGAGAAGAGCAAGGGGTTGGGGGTTGGGGGGAAGGTGGAAAGGGGAGGGACCGCAATCCCTCGGAGCCCGCCGGCCTAGACTGCCTGGCGACCACCTTCTGCCCCATCAAGGTCGGTTCCTGCAGCCGGGACTCACGCCTACTGGGGCAGGCGGGGCGCGCAGGGCAGCACAGCCCCACAGGTGGCAGCGGCAAGGAGACGGTTCCCGCCAGGCTAGGCAGTGGAGCGCCGCACAGCGCGCCTTGCCGCCTCCCAGCCGCCGCCCAGGCAGTTCCCGGCCAGCGCCAGCAGGCCTGCTCGGTCGATCTTCGAGCCGAAGATGCGGCGGGGTTGGAAGATGGCTCTGTCTGGGGGGCTGAGGTGCTGCCGCCGGGTACTGTCCTGGGTGCCAGTGCTCGTTATTGTCCTCGTCGTTCTCTGGTCCTACTATGCCTACGTCTTTGAACTCTGCCTGGGTAAGTGGGGCTGGGCACAAAAAGTGGGGAAATTATGCTCCAGCATAATCGGCTGCTCTTTCCTTCCCACTGATGTCCCCACTGCGCTCAGCCCTCACTCTGCGGTTTTCCTTTCGCTCCCGGAAAAACTCCCAGTCGCCAACCTTGGGCTTCTCACAATATCTCCCACACGCCTTCCCACGAGGGTCCCACCACGTCGCCACCACCTCTCCTCTAGGGTTTCCTATTTCTTTGCTTTACCCATGGTAATTTCCTGGCTCTTCTCACTGGACACCCCCCCTTACCCACGCAGGGTAACCACTTAGGCTGTAGCTTCTCCTTCTGAGCCCACCCAACCAATTGAGGAAGTCCTTAAAGTGCCCGCTCCACCAATGCGTCCAACTAAGAGCCCCACCATTTCCCACTCCTACTAGGGTTCCTTCCGTGCTGGGGATTCCCTACCAGGGAATCCAAAAATGTTTCCTGTATTCTCATATTAGCTCACCTTTTCACCACATTGGGATCCATACTTTCTCTCTGCAAACCTCATACACAGGCTGACGTGTTTCACATCTCCATCCACATTCTGTTGTATCTCACTTTTCACACAGTGAAATCCCTCCATCCTTCCCTGAGATCCCATAGTGCACACGTGTGTACATGCACGCAACACACACACACACACACACACACACACACACACAGATGCTTCGTATGTTCACCTTCCTATGACCCCCCCCCCCCGCAGTATGCTGTTCTATCTCACATTTAAGCACAGTGATTATAAGCCTTCCTGTTTCCTTCCCTGAGGGCCTTTTCTTTTTTCAGAGTTCCAGTAGAGTGGGGGTTCTCCACAACACTCACTTCTCATACTAGAGCCAATTGTACTACATTGGGATGTCCTCCAGCCTCATCCCGTTCCACTTTGTGAAGCGTTCAACTCCTTCCCATTAGACGGCCCACATTATTTTCTGACACATCGAACCAGTGACCCTGCTTTGTCAAATTATGATCATGTCTCACCCACTATAATCTCATACTAGAGTGTTCTCTTTAGACTTCAAAGAATTCCCACAATTTTTACCATATCCCACTGAAGAGCCCCCCTTTGTTGTTGGTGCTGGATTTTTTTATTTTTATTATTTTTTCTTTTTAAAACAATCTTTATTTTATCTACCAATCCCAGTTCCCATTCCCTCCCTTCCTCCTACTCTTCCCACCTTCTTTCCACCCCATCCCCCATCCAACCTCAGAGAGGGTTAGGCCTTCCATGGGGAATCAACAAAGTCAGCCCCATCACATTGAGGCAGGACCGGGGCCCTCCCTCCTGTAAGCTGAGCAAGGTAGCCCTCCTTAGGGAATGGGCTCCTAAAAGCTAGTTCATGCACTAGGGATAAATACTGGTTCACCTGCTAGTGAACCCACAGACTACTCAAGCCCTCCAACTGTCACCCACATTAAGAGGATCTAGTTCAGTCTTCTGCTGCTTCCCCAGCTGTCAGCCTAGAGTCAGTGAGCTCCCCCTTGTTCAGGTCAGCTGTTTCTATGGGTTTCTCCAGCCTGGTCTTGCCCCCTTTGTTCATCACTCCTCCCTCTCTACAACTGGATTCCAGGAGTTCAGCTCAATGCTTAGCTGTGGGTGTCTGCTTCTGCTTCCATCAGCTACAGGATGAAGGCTCTAGGATGGCATATAAGGTAGTCATCAATCTCATAGGGGAAGGGCATTTAAGATAACCTCTTCACTATTGCTTAGATTCTTATCTGGGGCCATTGCTGTGGATTTCTGAGAATTTCCCTAGTTCCAGGTTTCTCAATAACCATAATGAGCCTCTCCTTTTCTAACCCTGATTTATCCTTGTTATCTTTTCTGAGAAACACTCTCCTCTTCCAGTGTTTTTCCATTGTTCCCACCACATTCTATCACTATCTGTCTCTGGCACTTGGCATTGTTTCCTCTAGGAGTGTACTTACCCCCTGCCTTCTCAAGTCTGGAAAATTCAGTTCTTTCTTGCTGAAGTTTGTAACACTTTCTGCCTTTCCAATGGGAATATCATTTCTGGTTTCCTCCTCTTTTTAGATCAACCCTTTTAATGATGTCGCCTTTTCTTATGTCCTGGCCTGCCACACCAATAATCACTTTAGCCCTTCTTTATTTATAGTATGGTTCTCACCATATGTCTTGTGCTTTCAAACTCAAAATTCTACATTATTTCACAGCACAAAATCCAAGACTCTGACCCCCCCACCCAGTCCTCTGTCTATTACATATGGCCTTATAATATTTTCATAAACTCTAATTAGTTTTCATAAAATATCTTTTCTCCTCCCAACAGAAATTTCTCAGAAGCCATTAAAGAGTCCCCATATCTTTTAAAATGAGATCTCATTAATACCTATTATCACTTCAATACTAGAATCCCATTGCTAGCACCCTTAGACTTGTGATGTGTAGTCTCCCCTATTCATTCAATGTGGGGTTCTCAATGCCACCCCATTAGTATTCCTACTCATTCCATCAAACATCTCTTCAACTCTGCCTTCCCATGACTCATTTATTTCCGCACATATCTTAACATCTCACCTTAAATATTACAGTTACCATGCTACTTTTCAGCCCCAGGACACAACTACACTTATAACACCTTTCTCTTACATATTTGGCAAAACTACACTACTCCTACACAGATTTGGGTGAAGTAGGGAGGCAAGAAGTGACCCTGTTTTTCTGATAGAATACTTCCTTCTAGTCAACTCTATACATCAAGATTGGGCTTTTTTTCTGGCCTTCTTAATGATGTTATGGAAATACAGGGGAAAAAAAACTTTTAAAATAAGTTTCGTTTGTTGCTTTCATGGATAGATATTTAAGCTGTTTTCTGTTTCTTCATCTCAATCTGATATAAAGGTACATTAAGTAGGTGATAGAGTGACTGGGAAGTTGTCTTGTTCTCAGACCTTACCACTTTGGCTTTTTTGAATGATTAACTAAGGGATCAAAAGTTCAGCTCCATTGTTACTGTGTGTACACTGCTCCTCGGAACAATACCACATTGTCCACACTGTTAAACCTACTTTAAAGCCCTTCAGTACTGACTTAAATGAGTTCACCAAGAAATCATGTTAGAAATCAGTAATGATGAGAGTTAACTCTTACATAGTACTTTGTGCCCTAAAAAAAAAAAAAATGCTGTCATTGCTGTAGCTATAATTACAGCCTATATATCACCTCATTTAATCCTCACAGCTATTGAGGGTAGGTACCATTATTATCCCCACTGTGCAATATATGTGAACTGAGTCAATAAACTGAAGTAACATCAAGAATCAGTGCAAATAGTATGGTGAAGTGACACACACCTGTAGTCCCAGTACTTGTGAAGTAGAGGTCAAGAGGATCAGGATCAGGAGTCCAAGGACATCCACAGCTACATGGAAAGTTTGAAACCAGGCTACATAAGACCCTGTTTTACAACCCCCCACCAAAATAAATCAGTGCATATAATTGGCTTTCTATAAGTTCTTAGTCATGTCATACTAAAAACTGCAAGAAAGCTTAGGGTTTCTTTTGCTTTAGTAAACACACTTGTGCAGAACTTGCCATATGCTAGGCTTTATTTCTGAGTAAGCACACACACACACACACACACACACACACACACACACACACACACACACACAGAGACAGAGAGACAGAGAGACAGAGAGAGAGTACTCTTAACCTTTACGAGGTACATACTATCATTATGACCAATTTGATGACAAGAAAACTGAGGAATGAATTGATTACCTCGTTTATCTGAGATTATAGAGTTAGTAAATTGTTAAACTTGGATGGCAACACAGGCAATATGATCCTTCAGTTCATGCTATCCTAACATGCTGCTTCCTCTCAACTAGCACAGAGCTCAAACTTGTGATGGACAGGCCCAGTATAACCTGAAAATGTATTTTATTTGGCTTGGACAGTGTTTTTTTTTTTTTTAGCATTTTTAATATCAGTTATCATTATTTAAACTAGGGTAAGCCTAGCAAAGAGCCTCAGTTTGAGATAGGAGGATCATTTTGGCCTAGGAGTTCAAAATAAGCCTCTATAATATAAGTAGAGCCCATCCCCAAAATAAAAATCAATAAAATAAGTGGCCTTGACTTCTGTTTCTGGCTCTACCATTCTATGATGCCATCTTCACTTTATAATATTAAATGTTTTGTAAAGTTTTAAATTAGGTGTGTGTGTGTGTGTGTGTGTGTGTGTGTGTGTGTGTGTGTGGTATTTGGAGGGATATGCTACAGTATGCTGTGGAAGTCAGAAGAAGTGCATGGCTTGATTACTTCCTTCAATCATATGAGTTCTGGGGATTGCATTCAGACCCTCAGTCTTGGCAAATGCCCTTCCACATTGAGACCTCTTGTTGGTCCTTCTTTTTACAATCTTTTAACAAATGTATGACCTGAATTTCAGAAATGATGAATCAAAATTTCCTAAACTTACATTTACTTTACAGTTGAGACCTGGAAGTCAAGCCTACCTGATAACAAAGCCACCCCTTTACCAAATATAACAAAAACAATAGATTAGGGGTTTGATAGGACTTGAAAAGTAATATTAAAGAACTAACTTTCTTCCAAAGAAAACCTCATCTCTCCTAAATGTCAGGTTATAAATGAAACTAAAGTTGATAATTTTATACTTACATTTTTGTTTATAGTAGGTTAATTATAAAATAATTACATCATTTTCTCCTTCCTATTCCTCCCTCCAATCCATCCCATGCACCCCCTTGCACTGTCTCACATTCATGGCTCTTTTCCTTAATTGCTGTAACACATAGTTGCAAATATGTAAGTCCAACCTGCTCGGTCTGTATCATGTAGTTGTGTGTATATGCTTTCAGGGCTGACCATGCTGTATTTCCCAACCATCCATTATGCTCTTCCCTGGGGAAGACAATTTCTCCTGTTCTCAGCATTCCTTAGTTGCTGTAGTTCTTTGTCGAGGGTTGAGGCCCCATGAGATTTCCCCC